CTAGATATTACTTAAACAAAACTGTGGGGATTTCTCAATAATATTTAAAAATATAAAAGGGCCCTGAGGTATACAAGTTTGAGAACTGTTGATCAAGGAGGATGCTAGACTATGCTCATTCTACTAAATGAAATTGTGTGCATACTAAATGTTATGCTGCCTGGTATGTAATTTTGGGCAGAGGAAGTACTAGGGATTGAACTCAAGGCCTTTGCACTGAGCTACATTCCCACCTCCTCTTCTTTAAAATTTTAACTCAGGATCTCATTAAATCAACTCAGTTGCCCAGGTCATGAATGAACTTGTGACCTTCCTGCCTCAAGTCTTCAGAGGGTGGGGATTACAGGTGTGCACTACCATGCCCAGTTTCAGCATTTAGTAATTTCAAATTTTGTAAAGTTATAGTGTCATTTAAACTTTCAGAGACATCATTTTAAAGTCTGCCTGGCCAAATTAAAAAAAAATTATTGTTAAATATGAGGCTTAAAAACCAAACCTATTCTATCCAAAGATAAAGAGTAAGTAACAAAGCTGGTTTAGATCCAGAATGCACTGCCCAGGCCTAACCTGTTCATCACTTTAGGCTTGTCGAGAGCCTTGTGCTAGAGATTCTTTAAGCTAGAGTTTTTCTTCCTGCTTCATGGGGAAAGATTTTTCTGTAAATTTAGGTGATATGATTTTGATCCAAATTATAGGCAGGATTTCTAATTTGACAGTAACATAAGTGAAGTTCTCCTGAGCCCTGGCTGATTTTCAGGTCAGGTCTGGGGAGGGCAGAGAATGTGAAGTTGGGTCACTTGGTTATGTAAAACACATGATATCTTTCTCCTAAGATACGACGAGGCTTCATATTCACATGACAACAACAAAAAGAACAACAAGTTGTTTAATGCTTGTGGTTTGTGTTCTGTTAAACAAGCATCATTTGGTAGAGATAAGATTTATTAGGTACGCATTTCCAAAACATCCACTCTAGTCCAGCGTAGTGACACATCCCTGTAAGCCCTGCTACTCCAGAGGCTGATGTGGCAGGATCACTTGAGCCCACAAGTTTGAGACTAAGCTGACCAATGTGATGAGACCCCTTTCTCACAAAAACAAAAATGAGACAAAGTCCATTCTACCCTCACACAATGTCCCCTGTGAAATATCTACCAACTCAGCTACAGGGTGCTTGTCCACTGGAAAATTGCTAGCTTATGGGAAGTCTCAAGAGAGTCCAGGCTCTGGTGTTTACAATGTCACTCCCCTGACGCTGAGGAAGTCTCACCACCAGGGACTGGACACTCTAAGGGAAGAAGACAGGGGCAAGCAGACTGGCTGATGAACTTGAAGGTACCTTGATTTTGGTTGTCATTTTCAATCAAAAGACAAGATGGGGCCGGCGATTTAGTTCAGTGGTTCCGGCGCCTGCCTCGCAAGCACAAGGGCCCGAGTTCAATCCTTGGTACCAAAAACAAAAAGTAAAATCTAGATTTAAAATGTAAGTATTGAAACTTAATAATAAATATGCATATTTATCATGTAGGACAAATGTATATTAACATTTAATCATATTTCTTCAAATTTTTAAGATTGATGCTTCCATGTCCCCCTCACTGAATTTTCTGATTTCTTTGACAAGGGCAACATTATTTGGGAATTTAAGTGCAACTTTCATAACTGTTAAAATGTACCTTGCACGTGAGACTGCAATCTCTGTTTAGTATTCATTTGGGTTTTCTCAAATGTCCATAAAAAGCAGACAGTACAACTCCTTCTGTAACAAGCTATTTTCCAGCCCAAATCTTGTCTTTGATTTCTACAGATCTCATAAGTTTCTTTTTCTGTCATAATATTTGATCTTATTAAGAAGCCAAGCTTTATTTTTTCCATTTTATTGATAGATACTTCGCTAATTTTCCGCTTTCTATTCTTTTCTTTCTTTTTTTCCCCTCCCATTACTTGTGGATTGGACCCAGGGCTTCACACCAAGCTGTATCCCCAGCCATTTGAAATGTTCTTTGAGACAAGGACTTGCTAAATCACTAAGTTGCTCAGGTAACTTGCAATTCCCCTGCCTCAGCATCCTCAGAGTGCTGGGACTATAGCCGTACACCACCATACCTGGCTTAATTTCCCATTTTCCATCAGCATATCAAGGCCTCTTTGACCATTCCTGTGTATCTGTATTTGTACACATGTGGGAGAGGTCTTCTCCTGGGTGGCATGGCATGTTATTTTCAATTTTATTTATTTATTTTATTTTTATTTTTTTGGTACCGGGGATTGAACTCGGGTCCTTGCGCTTGCAAGGCAGGCCACCAAACCACTGAGCTAAATCCCTGGCCCTTTATTTTCAATTTTATTTATTTATTTTATTTTTATTTTTTTGGTACCGGGGATTGAACTCGGGTCCTTGCGCTTGCAAGGCAGGCCACCAAACCACTGAGCTAAATCCCTGGCCCTTTATTTTCAATTTTAGTAGAAGCTGCCAATGTGCTCTGCAAAGTGACCGCATAAATGCAGCTCTTTCTTTCTTTTTTTGGTCCCGGGGATCAACCTCGGGTCCTTGCACTTGCCAGGCGGGCAGCGGAACCACTGAGCTAAATCCCTCCCTGGCCCATCCAGCTCTTTCGAAGAGCTCACCAATGCGGGTCTTCCCACTAGCTTTCCTCCCAACACCCAAGGCCGCTGCCAACACTGAGTAATAAGTAGCAGGGAATGGACCAGGCCCGCCTTAGCTGCCAACAGGAAAAAGAGTCCAAAGAAAGGCTCAAGACCCTTAAAGTAATGCATGGATTGGCACAAGCAGCAGCTGTATGCACGGACTGTGGGGGGACCAAGTGGGGACAGATGGTCTCTTCAGAATTCCAAGGGGCAAAGAAAAAATTGTTCCATCTCCCCACTTCATGCCTTTCTTAATCAAATCCAGACTGTCACGGATATTTGAGAAAGGTAAAATGATACAACTAAATCCAGAAGAGAAGGGTTTCTTCCTCTACCCCACCATTGATACAGAAAGGTGATGTGAGCCAGAGAGAAATGGCCCTCGGGAAGGCTGGGAAGTCTTGGTCTTGGAGAGAGTGCAGGAGTAAAAGGAAAAATAGGATTCTGGGACGGTGGTTAAGCTTTCTACTTCATAGCAATGAGAACGAAGCCACCTCCGGCCCTGTGTCATGTGACATGGCTCCAGACAAGATAGCGTCATTGTGGAGTGATGAGGTATGGTTTCTGTTGTACTCTCATGAGTCTGGGTCAAGCAGCTTCCAAGAGAACTGATGCCAACGTTGATTTATATGGCTTAGGACAGAGCAGGTGAGAAGGTAGGCACAGAGGCTGGGAGTAGGACACTGGTGAGAAGAAGCCATCACAGGAGTCAGAACCAGAGTCCTTCCCACAGACAGCAATGTACTAGACAAGGACCATCTGTGGGCAGTGAACAAGTGGGCCCACTTGGGTGCTTATGTGTGTGAGGCTTCTTGGGAGGTTTTGTGAGGCAAAGCTGAAGATGAGTGATTCAAAATGGCTCCCGGAGAGAGGAAAATGGACATATAAGAAAAGCAGCAGGGGCAGGGATGGGCCTGCAAGAGGAAACAGGCAGCATGCAAGTTTATTTGGAATAATCACCAGAGGACACAGCAGGATGGCTGGATTATGACAGTAGAGTGATGCTGATGGAATAATCAAGGCCTGAGACCTAGAGGAAAATAATTACATTTGTGGGAATGGAGTTTTGGGGGAAACCCAGAGGGCACAGGGGCCTGAGGGAGAGCTCAGCTATTGACTTTCACCTTCCTGACACATAGCAAGATCAAGAGTAAAGGTTCTTGGCTCCTGGGAGACCTGGAGGTGTCTGAGGTGCCTGAATCCTGTACCTTTGTTCCACAAGCTCATAAATCTCCACTGAGGGCCGATCTCCCAGGGCCATCTGTGTAGGGATGGGATGAAGCTAGATTCTTAAACTATTGAACATCCTGAAAAGGCAATGGCTAAAAAACCCAAGGGGCCATGGGTTCATCCAGGTGGGAAATAAGATATCTTTATCTTCATTTCAAGTAATAAAATGAAGCCAGAATAATAAAGGTCTAGAAAACTGAACAGGGACTAGGAGATAGATTTGTACAGCAATTAGACAAATTGAAGTTATATACCACTTTGAAAGTGGAATATCAAGTCGGGCGTGGTGGCACACACCTGTAATCCCAGCACTTGGGAGGCTGAGGCAGGAGGATCGCTGTGAGTTTGAGACCAGCCTAGGTTATATAGTGAGTTCCAGGTCAGTCTCAACTACATTGTGAGACCCTGTCTCAAAAAAAGAAAAAATTTAGACAAGTCAAGGTAGGGAGGCATCAAGAAGAACTGGTCATCCTCACCAGTGAAGAGAAATGTCCTGCTACCCAGTAAGCCAATGATGACAGCATCCAGGCTGCCATGAATGGGTGCTTAGGATTCTGCCTGCCCAGCACCCATTATTCCTCCTTCCAATTTTCCTTTACACAATCACTTTTTCTTCTCTTGCTAATCATTTGGCATGGAGTTGAGGGAAGAGAGACTCGGGGGAAAGTTGGCACCAACTCAGTCACAGGAGAGAACATGTGACCCTCCTTGGGTTCATACCAAAGTCAGTCAATCAAGAATCAGTCTTTTCCAGAATAGTTCAGAAAGTACCATTCTCTTTCCAGGGGAAGGTTGGGACAATAGAATATAACCCTGGAGCTTCTGAGTATGGCCTTTGCCACTACTTGGAGAGGACATGCCTAAGAACAAAGCCATTACAGGAAAGTAATGCCAAGACATAGATGCCTAATAGTCAAATGTGAGCACCTAGATCGGGCCACTCCTGAAGTCACTTTGTCTCAACCCTGTATATATTGTTTATTTGCCTTAAAAAAGGTCACTGCCACCCAGAATCAACTAATATATTTTCGAGAAGTCAAAATTAGTAATGAATAGATACTTGAATTATATTTTATAATTTTTAAAATAAATTAGAGCAAATTCAAGGCTATCTGAGTAATAATTTCAGTGGTTTCTCTTACATTCTGACATGCAAGGGTTAGGGCCACAGTCAGGTGTGACACATGCCTTAGGGCATGCTGGTGACTGCGCTCCTTAAGTGACAACAGTGACTTAAACCACAAGTGTATTCTGCAGTTTTAAAAGTATTTCCACACTTACTACTACGCTTGAGTCATAAACCATGCTGGGTGGTTTGTCTCCTACGCCCTTTTATCCACAAGGCCGAAAGGTACAGAGAGGCCTTCCTCAAACACATTTCCAGGATGTGCGGGACTCTGGATCTAGTGCTTCCTCCCAGCCAACAGCTTCCTCAAAAGATCATAGTCAGTGTGTGGAACCAAGGGACAGTGACACAGAGGCAAGCCTATCTCCCCTGGGCACCCACAAGGGTGTGGAGGGAGCGGAGAAGAGGGCAGAAGTGGCCTAGTGGGTGCTGGAAGACTTGAGTCTAGCAGAGCTGTTGACTATACCTTTTCTATCATGGATTTATGTCATCCTTTTGGGCCACCCAGCACATCTGGACACCATGCCCGGGAGTCTGTGCCTCTTGAAGTAGCCCAAAACTTTCCAGGGTCCCCTCTCATCTAGGGCACAGGCTGTGAACAAGACGCTGCCAGTTAGGGTGCCTGGGGGGAGCTGTGATGTGGCGCTAGAAGGCCGTTCTGGGGAGGGTAGGGCACCCTGGGTGGTCGAGGCAGTGGTGATTCAGGGTGTAATCCAACCATAACCCCCACGCCTGCTTCTCTGGCCATCCTGAAGGTTCCGCAAGCTATCTAATATGCTTTAGAAACAAGTCCTTTTCTGCTTAGCCAAGCAAGAAGGAAGGGTCTGTGATTTGTGACAAGAAGGCTGATGGTGCAACCTGGAAAGCATCAGTGGTCTTCGTGTGACCGTTCTCGTCCCCTGTATCCTGTCTATGCCATCTGTTCCCTGCCAACTTCTTGGCCATGTGTGTTCTCCTGGGAAGAAAGCAGCCCAGCCTGCTCCTCCAACGACCTCCTGTTGCAGCATCTGCCGTTATTCAAGGTGGTCACGCAGTGTCACAGGACTGCGGGCCATGCCTGGGTCAGTCTGGCCTCTCTCTCCGGGGCACGTGCCTCCTGGCTGGGATCTGACGCAGGCACGGGGCTCGGCCTGTGGAAGACAAGCTGCTTCACTTGCCTGCGTCTTGCCCCTGGGATGTGGTGGCGCCGCGGGCCCAGCTCCACAGCAAAGAGATCCTCCAGCTTCCGTTCTGGTGAGCATTTTGTCCCGCGCAGCTGGGTGTGGGCGAAGAACACTAAATGCCAAGAAAAAAGGATCCGCTGGTGTTTCTGCCTGGATCCGGGAGTAACAGGAAACGTAACTTACCATGAGGTTGGCACTACTTTAAATGTTCCCCCGGCTCTAAGCCACTCTGCTAGATCTCCCAAAAGGCTCTCTTGGCAGAGGTTCAGAGAGACAAAGACACTGCCTAGTCCTGAGATACAGACACCTGCCTGCCTCTTTACTTTCCTGTCATTTCTCCCTTTACCAACGTAGATTTATCGGGCACCTGCTCCACGTCCAGCCTGAGAATACGATGGTCGGAGAAGCTACAGTTCTCATGCAAGTCATGTTCTCCATGGGCACCAGAGTTGGAGGAATTCTGGTCTCTGGTCCTGGCATTCGGACTCCCCAGGAACAAGAAGTACTTTAGGTAATTCCTGCTGGATCACACTTATAAAAGGCCTAAAAGACTTAAGACTGTTGTTTGGATCATGTAAGTGGTTTCCTCTTCCCTCTTTCTGGGCCAAGAGGTGGTGCGAGGTAGCAAATAAAAAATGATTTGTTGGTTTAACCTGCAAATCTATCTATGTGTGCCTTTCTTATTGTTAAGCACAACAAAAGCTTTTACTGGAGCGACATAGAACCAAGTCTGTGATACAAGTAGTACCGCGATCCCCCTGCCCAAATCACCAGGGACCGTTGACCAAAAAATAAATTAATAAACAAAACAATTGCAGATTTAATAAAGCACAGTAGAGGAGACAAAACTGAGTACTATGATGATGAGGAGAGACACCTACCATAGGTGAAATGGCCAAGGATGGGCTCCCAAGGAGACACTACACTAATGACTGAGAGACAGCCACACATAGTCTGGGGTAAGGCCACTCCAAGCAAAAGCAGCAAGCTCAGTGAGGTTGGAAATAACTGCTGCAACCATTGCAGGTTCACAGGTGTGTGGGGGAGAAGTGGCCAGAGGAGAAAAGAGCAGAGCACTTAATACTCCTGGAACGATAGCTAGGTAACCCAGGAGCCAGTCAACCTTTTCCAAATGGAGAAACTCTGCCTGCATACACACCTGATGGGTCTGTAGCTGAGCCCTGGGATTGCAATAAAAACTAGCTGAGACTTAGGAGAGGAGACAGCAAATAAAAATAGCCGGAGGTTATAATAAATGACAGAATCACACTAGGACATCAAGGAGTTGAAGTTAAGCAGACAAGGACAAACTCCCAAAACTGGTGCTCAGGATTCTGTTCCAAGATCCCGTTCCCAGAGATCGTATCAATGCATCCAACCTCCTCTAAATTCCACGAGATGAACACTATCTCTGCCTCCCTTTCCCAGGGAAGGGACAGTAGCACAGAAGGCTACACTGTGCTACTGTCCACTCCCACCCAGTAGTGAGGCCCCTGAGACGCTGGGACCGGGCTGGCCAGTGGTGGCGGTGTCCTTCAGCAACACTCTGCATGGCCCTTTGAAACTCCTCTCCAGATACCTAAAGTCAGAAGCCAAAAGAACACTGGGAGCTGGGTATGGAGGCACACACATATATTCCCAGCTGCCCAAGAGGCAGAAGCTGGAGATTAGAGTTGGAGCCTAGGCTGGGAAACTTAGGGAAACCCTGTCTCAAAATAAAGAATAAAAAAGGGGCTGGGGATGTAGCTCAGTGCAAGCAGTGCAAAGGTTCTGGGTTCCACTCCCCCAACACACACACACACACACACACACACACAGAGAGAGAGAGAGAGAGAGAGAGAGAGAGAGAGAGAGAGAGAGAGAGAGAGAGAAAGAGAAAACACTGGGTAAGAGTACCAGGTTTGCGTTGGGGATTCAATATTTTAGTTTTGATGATATCAGTTCTGAGGAAGAGCTGAGATTTTTAAGACTCTCTCACGTGTGTAATCAGCTATTGCCTTTTTGCAGAGACACAGATCATCTTGCTGTAAGAGTCTGGGGGCAGAGCCAAAGGAAACAAATGCAGCTCCAACTCTGGAAGGAACCTGAAGACATCCTTTTGGAAGTGACTACTTCTCTCCCCAATACAAAATGAGAATCTAGGGCCAGGGATGTAGTTCAATGGCGCAGCACCTGCCTGTCAAGTGCAAGGCCCTGGGTTTGATTCCTAATGTAAGAGAGAGAGAGAGAGAGAGAGATTCAGGGGAAATAAGGAGTTCCCCACTAAGGCATAGACAGAACTGGGGAGGGGAGAGATCATAAAAACAGAACAGGACCAGAGACACTGCTGGAGAGACTGAACTGGGCTGGATGGGGCACAAGGAACAGCCAAGGTCATGCCCACCAGACATACAGACAGACTTATCTTTGGCTCCCTGGTACTTCTGACTCTAGGCTGTCTGCAGGTCTGGGTTAAGGGCAAAGTGACTCCCCAAGAGACCTCAGAAGCTTCCCAACCACAAGGCCTGACACACTGAGCTCAGCCTTCAGAAGGGTCAGAAGAGAGCAGGGGTCAAGACATCTAAGTGGTGAGCTGGATCCCCTCCTACCTTTGCTCTCTATGGTCACAACCAGGCCTTGGGGTTTCACGTGAGCACCCAGTGTGCAGAACAGGACTGTGATCTTGCAAAATGTCAAACAGCCATGTAGAAGTCAGGAGTTTCCAGGGAAGCTGAACCGATCGTAGACAGGCAGACAGACAGAGAAAGAGTATGAAAGAGAAAGATATGGAGAGAGAAAATAATTTGGGGATTTATTATGGATTATACAATTATGCCTTTCTCTCTCTGTATAGATACAGATGAGGATATAGATATAGATTATGCAATTATGGAGGCTGAGAAGTCCCATGAAAATCAATACGAGGTACCTTCAAACTTTGCAGTGAGTGTTTATATTTTTTAAAATGTATCACAGTAAAGGACACTGCCATTAATCTCTCTCAAAATACTTCCTACCCCTGCTTTGAACACACGAATCCCATTGTTCTTGACACTTTCTGAAGCAGTTTTGTAAGTCCTTCTGAGATGCACTAAAAAAAAAAAAAAATATATATATATCCGATGAATGCTGGGGTCAAGTGTCATCCAATGGAAAGGCAGGCTTGTAAAAACATCGTGGTGTGTCTTCATCCACCTTGAATCACCGGCTTTGGTATCATGTGACTTCTGGCTCGTCCCCAGTGTCAAATGACCCCCAAAGGAAAACACTTTGGATCAGTTCAGGACTTTGAGACTTTGAGCCATGACCAGGCAACTAAAGACACTCACGCGGTCTGAATGGCTGCCTAAAAGTTAAGCATCACTGGGCCCACACTTCGTTCATGACAATAGTTCTCAAACCATTGCATCCCTCAAAATCTCTGAAGGGCCGGTCAGAGCGCAAACTGCGGGGCTTCGTCTCCCGTTCTGCAGGTCTAGGGTGGGGGCAAGGGTTTGAATTTCAAGTAAGTTCCCGGATGATGCTATCTCCAGGCTCAGGAGCCACCCTCCAGGAACCACTGACCTGTGCAGTCCTAGGGCGTCTGCCCCTCCTGGACGGAAGAGGGCTTGGCATCCTCCCAAGTGTAATTCTTAAGGTGGGGTGGTACGAAGGATGAGGAGGTGGTGCAAGGGGAGTTCAGCACGACCTTCAAGAGCTGGCTTTCCACGCAATTCCTGGTAGGAAACCCTGTGTGTAAAAGAAGCCTCAAAGTGAGACCCAAAAAGTCAGCAGGAGACAGTGAGGTCTGAAGCAGAGGGTGAGAAGCTGACCCCCGCCCAGTGCTTCACTTCAGCTATCAAATACCAGTATCACAGCTGTTATACTGACAACTGGCGTCACGATTCCAAGTTTTTAGAATTGACTTGTTTTTATTAGATATAATTTAGCCTTAACTTTTAAAAGATATTAATAATAGTAGCCATGAGTATTTAGGAGTACAGTTGGCTTTCTGTATCCATGGGCCTTCCGCACACACCAACTCAACCAACCCCAGACCAAAAATGCTGAAAGAAAACGAAAAGAAACCTCATGTGTACATTGAACGTGGGCAGACCTTTTCACTTGCCATTGTTTCCTACACGATACAGTTTAACAATGATTTATACAGCATTTATATTGTATTCAATATTAGAAGTAGACTAGAGGTGATTTAAAGTATACAGGATTTGCACAGGTTTACAAAAACATTGCTCCATTCTGTTTGCTGTGTGTTTGTTTGCCTACGAGACAGGAGTCTCCCTGTGTTGCCCAGGCTGGCCTCAAACTCCTGGGCTCAAGCAAACTTCCTGCCTCAGCCTCCTGAGTGCCTGGGACTACGGGCATACCCCACCACACCCAGCCCCATTTTATGTAGGGGACTTCGTATCCATAGATTTGGGTAGCTACAGGGGAGAGGAGGCCCTTGGATACCAAGGAATGATAGTACTTGCTAAGTGCCCGGCACGTACATATGTACAGGCATGTATGCTCCCCCCCCCACACGATCATGTGTGGGCACGCGTGTGCACACATGTGTATCACTGCAATCCTCGCAGCCACTGTAGTAAGGAGTGTGTCACTATCACCACCATTCTACAGATGAGAAACTGAGGCCCAGAGAGAAGGAGTGACCTTGCCCAGGCTACACAGGCAGGCTTCCATCCCACATGGCTGGCTACAGAGGCAAGAGCTCCATGGATTAACTACAGATGAAGTAACTCCCCACGGTCCACAGAGCTAGCAATGGGATGGGGCTGAAATTTGGGTCTCACTCCTACGCCTCGGTGCTTGGCTCCTCCGTGCAGTCCCATGTGAGCTGCGGGTGGTTCCAGTGGCTGAGGAAGACGCTGACCTGGGACAGAAGTGTAAGGGAATCTGCACTGTGCAAGGCTTGCAGCTTGGCTGAAAGACTTTCTGGAACAGCTCCCGCCTTTGAGATGGGCTTCGAATGCACGCTTGCCTCCTCCGGACCTCTCAACCTCTAAGTAAACGTAATCCAAGAACTCTTATGCACTGGTTTGTATCATGAAAACAACTGTTTCTGTTTTTTTCAAATATACAGCTCTATTAAATACAGATATTTCCCATTCAAGGATTTCTCTAAAAACTACTCCGATCTGACTACCGAGGCATGCTATTCAGACTGAGAACCAACCACTGGGATTTATGACCTATCTTTTTTGGGGAGGGGTACGATTCTGTACATCTTATTTATAGAGCTTCCATGTCCTTTTGTACAGTATACCTTGTTGATACAGTACTGTCATTTTTGCTGATTGTACTGTATAGTGTAGCACTGTAGTTTTTTGTCCTTATACAGTACAGTGCTGCATGTAACAGCTATGCAAATAAAAGCAAAGTCATTGAGCTGGAGTTTCCTTTGGTCATTTTTTTTGTTCTGAATATTGTAATGTACATACAGTGCTATATGCAATTCCTCATTTAGTGACCAAGTCATGTAAAAACTGAACTGCATCACGGGACTCCATCACGTCCCATAGGGCTCTGTCTATCCAGGTACCACCTCCTACCCTCTTTTCTTGAAGGGCTTAGATCAGCAAGGCTGAGAAACAAACACAAGCCTCTGTAAAGCTTTCTGAATAATCCAAAGGCCAGCGTGGATGTGGTCTCCGGGACTGTCCCCCAGGAAGTGCTGGGAAGACACGAACCCCAGACAGGGGCCAGGTGCATCATGGAAGCCTGACTTTCCTTAAAGCTTATCAGACAGGAGAGTTGTAAACGGGGGAAGGAGATGAGGCCAGCCGGAAGGCAGGAAGGACTCTCAGGCCTGCAGCTCTCCCGCCTCATCCTGCTTATCTGGCTCACCACCTGGACAGGAACACAACGCGGACACCCCTAGGCAGCCAGAGTGGAAAGGAGGGAACTGCAGCGGTCCGAGGATCATGGGAACCACTGTGCTCGACTTCTGGCCCCCAATCCTCAGTCACGTTCGTGGCTTGTGGTCATTTCCATAATGTCAAGCGTGGGTAGGAAACGAGGTGAGAGAGCGGAAGGAGAAAAGCAGTACTTCTGGCCCCAACATTTCCTTGACAAGAAGTTTGTGGTGTTCACTCTGAAAGTCGTGAACATCTAAGAAAATAGTAGAAGGAAAACAGTGCAAGTGTAGTTTATCAAGAGATATGAGGAGCCCTTAGACTAATCTAGAAAGTGGCCTGTGTGCGGAACGACAAGGAGGCCAGGAGACGGAGAGAACAGAAGGGCAATGACCGATTGGGACAAATGGCTTCTAGAGTGTCTTCCTGAATCGTTAGAGGACTTCTCTGGTGACAAGAGAAAGACGAACACTCAGACAGACAGAGGAGCAGGAAGACTTTAAAAATCTGCCATCAGGGGCTGGGGTGTAGCTCAGTGGAAGGAACTAACGCTCGTCTAGAACCGGCAGAGCCCCAAGTTCCACCCTTAGTACCACAAAACAAACAAAAAAGCTGCCAATTAAACATAGGAGAAAGCAGAGATGGAAATTGGAGAGACAGGTCTGCAAGACAAAGGGCCCCAGTGGCTAGCAACTCCAGAAGGCAGGAGAGAGGCATGGAACAGATCAACCTCACAAAATTAAATAAAATCCAAATCCTTACTTGGACCAGGAGCCCAACAGCATGTGCTCTCCTTCCCCTCTTCGCTCCACACCATCGTGTCTCTGATGTCCCTCATGCCTACTCTACCCCAACCATACCAGCTTCCTGTCAGTTCTTCCATCACACACAGCTCTGTGTTGCCTCAGGGCCTTTGCACAAACTTTCCTGTCTGCCCACAGTGTCCACCTCACCCCACCAGCTCTTCATACGGAGAACTCCTCTGGGGCTCAGCTCCAATGTCACCGGTTCAGAGAACACTTCTCTGCTAAAATACATCCAGTTAAAGTACATCAACCCCTTTCTCATGATTTTCATATCTTCCTGTTTTGTGTTGTTCGCGGAACGTGTCCTGACGGCAAATAACTACTTATACCCGTGGGGATACTGTTGTGTGTTTTCATAACCTCCCACCATCCAGAACGTAAATTCCGCCATCTCTGTCCTTGGCTGCCTTGTTGTACCCAAGTCGTGAAGTCCCCAAAGACCACCAAGGAGGCCGATCCAATGCAATCACACAAGGAGTTTATCGCAAGCTCGAGCCTAGAATCTCGGTTTCCACCAACGCCGTGGCTTCTGACCGAGAACCCCGACTCACTTTCAAAGCAGCATTATATAGGGATGGGAGGCTTGAAACCTTTTATTGGTGCTACTTTTAACTTTTTATGGCTATTGGATATTGCCGGGGTACTTACGGGAAATAACCAATGCCCATGTGGAGGGGCAGGTTCAGCGGGAGTCATTATGTTCTTTTTCCAAAGAACATCCTATACGATTAAACAATTAGGCAAACTCTCTATGCTTAGCAAAGCATGTGGTTTTTTTTTTTTTTTTATTTAATTTATCTGTAACTTCTTGTATTTTGTAAACTTAAGCAACTAGCGGGGAGGGAGTAGATCCAGGGTCAGAACAAGAGGAACAGACAAACAGGAGGTTACAAAATGGAATTTTTGTAACTCTTTGTCCCGAAAACTTGGTCTTTACATTCTGAGCAAAGGGCTAAGAGGGAGCCCACCGCGATCAGAAAACTTGGTTCCCACAGCCTGACGTGAGGAGCCTCCGGAGCACCTGTGAGGCTGGGGCTGGCGGAGGCTCAGGGGGCAGGCGCTGGCGAGAAGAGAGGAAGTGGCACAAGGACTCGACAGAGGCCACTGGGAAAGACAGGTGTGGGAGACGATCTGAGCCGGAGCCCTCAGACTTCCTGGGCTGTGAGGGGCCACCTGACCCAGGATATTTTTCTGGGCTAGCAGGAGCCCATGGACTTGAAAGTCAACAATACCAATTTTTATGAATGGTGACACAAAGCCAGGGACTAACCTGTTCCGGCTGGATTGTGCTGGGAGAAGGAACAAGGACGTGACGAAGTCCAGGAAGGGGTGGGGCACGGGAAGGGAGGGAGGTGAAGAAAGATCGGAGGGCGCAGGCGGGGAACAACTGCGTGAGGGAAAATGGCGGAGAGAGTCTCTGCCTTCGCTGCAGTGCTGTGGGAAGAGGGGCAGCAAACTCTTGTCCTCCCTCCAACCCGGTTCGTCCCTCTCACAGGGTCCAGCAGGCGTCGGTGACGGGAAGACAGGATCAGGCAATGGTACAGCTGAAGGCGTCTGCTATTACCTTGAAATCAAAGCCTCAAAATCCCGTAAGAGCTCTTCCTGTCTGGGGAGCGTACAAGTGGAAAGAAGAGGAATCGGGGTAGGGAGGAAGCTAAAGCAGGTGTCAGAGAGACACAGGATGGGAAATCTGACTCGTAGCACGTCTCCCAGGCAAGCGACATCACTGATCGTCTGACTATGGAGTGAGGACCGAGGCGCTAACAGGTGTTTCAAAGAAGCGAATTTCTCAGTAGGTTAAACCTGGGGGAAAGGTACCAGAAAACCAGAGAGGAACCTAACAACTCTAATTTTCTTTCACTCAAGCAGAACATTCTCAGAAAGCCTCCCGTGACTGCACATTTCTCATCAACCCGACAAGTCTGCCAGCCTCATCGGGGCCTTGGCTGAGTGGCCAGACATGCCACTTCCGGCCTTCCTTGGCACCGAGGCCCTGATCCCTTCCTGACCCCTTTGTGAGACTCTCAGGGAAGCTCTGTCCCTGCCTGCTGTTGCCTCTGCTTCTGCAGCAGCATCCAGTGTGGCCCACAGCACTTGGCTGGCCTGGCACCGAGGGGCACAGCGGGTCCCCACACACACCCTGCCATCTCCCATGCAGGGTGGCAGCTGCCTTGGCAGTGGTCTCCTGGCTTCTGTTCCCCAATGCTGTGATACTTGGGTTCTTACACTGAAAAACAAATGGTGCTGGTATCAGAGAAAATACGGATACATGTTGCCTAATTATAGTTGGCTGGGTGGCCACCCAACCAAAAAAACCACTCACATCTGATTTTTCTGTCTTTGAGACAAAACTGATTGCTGCTAATGGAACTTGGCTTAGATTGCGTACACCCAGTGCCAGGAGGCACTCCCGAGTCAGGGATCCGAAGACAGCGGGGCGGCCGCTGTGCTCTGGGCAGTGCATTCTTTCCCATCTGCCGGGAAATCCTCCCATTTTCCTGAGAAGGCCAGAGTAGATGGGGTAAGCAGGGCCGAGGCTCCCTGACATTGCAAAGCAGGGCTGGGGCTTCCGGGACTCAATGCAGAGCTGCAGGATCAGGGTGGGGAGGTTTGTCTGGTGGAAGAGACCAGCAGCTTCTTCACTTAACTCATTTTGAAGCCTGACTTCTAACAGCACATGGCACTCAGACTCCTTTGCAATAAGGTGTAGCCACTTGATTTAAGTTCCTGCTAATGTTCAGAACGGGAACTTCTGAGACATCTCTCACAATGACAAGGGGTGAGTGTTTCTTCTCTTTTTTCCATTCTGTTTCCAGGAATACAGATGTGATGGTTGAGGCCTCAGCTTCCATTTTGGACTATGAGGGCTGGGGCCATCCTAGCATGTGTAAAGCAGGGGGCCAGGAGGCAGATGGGCCTCTAGGATCTTCCTGGGGCTGCCAAACACAGTCGGGGGCTGCCAGCACTCCATACCTGTGGCCTGCTTCTACTGTAGGTGTAGAAAAAGCAGACTTCGACCTCACTTATAGCACTATTACTTGAGTTTGTCCTATTATGGACAACAGAATCCAGTTCTCACTGTTGGCGAGTTGCAGCACAAAACCACATCATAGAAAATGAAGATATCTCCCCTTGGTTTCTGGTGACAGTTGAGAAGGAGGGTATTCAAAGGGCATTAGAGTAGCTTCCGGGGCAGAGGACAGCAGTGACAGCCAAAGACAACGTGAATTCGGCCTTAGGCTACCTCGCTTGTCATCCCCTGACTTGCCATCTTTTCTCTTCTAATACCTGTGGTGATTAATATCCTTCTCGAAGTGGTAGAGTCAGAACAGTGGCTATCTTGGGGGGTGCACGGTTTGCCAATGGAAAGGGGCACAAAAAAACCAGGTTTATATCTGCACCCGGGTGGTGGCAACATAAATGTGGCGTAGGTGTGGTAACAGCGATCCCACACTGTCCCTAAGATCAGTGCGCTTCCCTTTATGTGTGTTGTACACTCAGGATAACAATTTATAAAAATTCTAAAATCTTATAGTTTTTATATACTTTAGCTATTTTAGCCCTAGAGACTTTTGCTCCCCATATTTGGTATTCAAAGGTTAAAATAGTTCGGGGGGGCCTCCCCCTTTTCCTCATCAACTGAAACCCCTCTGGTCAAACCGAGGAAGTTTTCAATGAATATTCACTTTCCTCCACTCTTACAGCCGGGAGCCGTAGGACAGTGAAAAGCCAGCAGTGGCTTCTAATTTCTAGTCAAGCTTTTTTTTTTTTGTACTGGGGATTGAGGACCTTGCACTTGCGAGGCAGGTGTGGTGCCACTGCACTAAATCCCCAGCCCCCAAGCCGTCATTTTCTTGATTTAAGAGAAGGGTAGATCCAGCTTCCATGTCTTATTTTCTGTTCTCCCTAATCTCTGATTTTTTTTTTGCTCAGAATGTAGATTCTTTTTGCAAAGTATGGTGGCCCAGACCTGTAATCCCAGCACTCTGGGAGGCTGAGGCAGGGTGCAATTTAACCATCCTGGGCAAGTTAGTAACTCAGTAAGACCCTGTCTCAAAATTTTAAAAGGGGGACTGAGGATGTAACTCAGTGCAAAGGCCCCATGCTCAATTGGAAGGAAGAAAGGGGTTGGGAAGGAAGGAAAAAAGAGAGGAAGAAAGAAAGGGAGAAAGACCTTATGATCGAGCCAAAACCAAAGTCTAGGAAGGTGAGCAGAAAGGGTAGCAGACCTCAGGTCATGGACCTGAGCAGCCACACAAGCCCGGGCTGCCTATTTCCTTTGTGTTGCTTTCTTTCACGCTGTTTTCTCATGAAAAACAAACCTCTATATGCTTAACTCTCGGGTTTGGGTCTGGGGCGTGCTTTGACAACCCCTGATTCAGGTACACGGCTTTATGTTGGTTTGTGTCAAAAGCTTTTCAAGTCAGAAGGAGACTTCAGGTGCTAATTTTTTGTGGCTTCAGATCATGGCACCACAAAGGCCAAGGGAGAAGAAAATGGGACCTCACCGAAGCCTCAGAAACTAAAACACCATCTGCACACACCCTCCTCAGCACTGCTCACTGCGGGCTGTGCAAAACCTCCACTGGGGGAGAGGGCTGGGAAGCTTGACCCCACAGGGATTCTGTTTTATCTAAGTGTGTCTGAGGGCCAGTCTTAAGGATTACGTCAACTGCATCATTGCTTCTTGATGTATCCTTAACCAATTCCCATTTTTGGTAAACACAAACTTTACTTTCTAGTTTGTATTGAGAAAACCAGGGCTTTTCTGCTCCCTCAAAAATTTCCTAGCATTGTATTTTTTTTCAACATTGGGGATTGAACCTAGGGCTTTTTCACTGCCACTAACATCTCCAGCCCTTTCTTATTTTTCATTTTGAGACAAGGTCTCACAAAGTTGCCCATGCTGGGCTAAACTTGTCATCTTCCTGCCTCAGCCTCCCAGAGTGTTGGGATTACAGGCATCCTGGCATGCTTGAACCCCACATAGGCTCTCTCCTCCCCCACACACATGCCCAGGAGTTTCAGATCCCCTCCTCATGCTTCCAGAGAATCAGTGGTCTAATTCAAGTTCCTTACGGTTCTGCAAACTGGAACACAAACCCCATAGCCCCAGCCATGCCGCAACTACCAGAGGAAAACGAACCACGTTTGTGCTAGAAATTGGCAATGGAGGAAAACAGAGGGCGTGGTCCTGGGAAAGAAAATCAGAGGGACCAGTTTTGTCCCCATTTGGGCTCACCTTTTGCAGGATCAGCCAGCACCTGACCCATCCGGCTCCCTCAAGGAATCTGTACCACCTCCATGTCGGGAAACTCTCCTGCCTCTCCTCCTTTGCCCAAGGCCAACACTGAAAGGCAAGGTCAGGGAAACAACCAGCTGCCTTCTGGCCTTCTCCGAGGGTGGTGTAAACCACAAAAGCCGCCGGAGGTCTGGCCAGAGAGCCCTGTGTATTTAAAGGGTGGGGTTTCTCAGTCTCCAAGGCCAGCTGGGCACAGACAGCAGATGGAGAAGGGAGACTGGGAGGAAGGAAATGGTTGGACCATTCCAGGGTTCCAGGAGAGAGTCCAGCTCCCAAGTTCTAAGTTACATTTCACAATCAAATTCAGATCCTTATAAACATTTATGGAAACCATAAAAGCTAAATAACATGGTAAACTGTGTAGAGAGAAACCTCCCATGGTGTTTTCTCTCTATTCCCTACGTATCCAAAGTGTTTGGAGAAGGGGAGGGAGGAGGAATAGAAACCCATCCTGGATAGGATATGGCACCAGAACAAGAACTGCAGCATGGGAAAGAGCTGTCCGACCCTGGCATCCTGCAGCTGAAGGTCATGCCCTGCGCTGTCAGGGGAAGTGGAGGATCCATTGGCAGGAAAGCTCATGACAGTGCAGACACATCTGGCCCCTTGTCTCCTCTTCCTTTAGGTCTAGGGGCTGCTAGCCAGGGCCCTCTCAGGTCAGTGGGGAGCTCAGTACAGTGTGAGGACCACAGACCCTATATCCAAGTCCTAAGTTCAGAGCTCAGTCCTCCATTTACCAGATGAGACTTCAGGCAAATTCCCTAACCTCGCTACACCTCAGTTTCCTCATCTGTACACCAAGCCCAGATAATATTTTAGGGTTTAAATGAGTTTACCTTTGTAATGTCTTAGCAGAGGACCTGGCTGGTGGTGTCACACACTGAGTAACAAGTGTTGGCTGGCATATTGGTTTCCTACATCCAAACTGCCACAAACTTGGTGGCTTAAAATAATAAAAATGTACTTATGAAATTTTTTCCCATATGGGAGATTGAATCCAAGGCCTTTGCCCTGAGGCACATCCCTAGGCCTTTTTATGCTTTATTTTGAGGTGGAGGTCTCACTAAATTGTTCAGGCTGGGCTTGAACTTGCAATCCTTCTGCCTCAGCCTCCCAGAGCTGGGGTTACAGGGTGTGCCAACACACCCTGACAGCTGTGGGTTTTGATAAGTGGATAAGGACATGAATTCACAATTACAGTATCATACAGAAGAGTCTTAGTGCCCTAAAATTCCTCTGTGCTTGATTTATTTATCCCTGTTCCTGTTCGAGCAATCAGTGAGCCAGAATGTCACATAATTAGAATCATACAGTATGTGGCCTTTTCAGGTTGGTTTCTTTCACTTAGAAACCTGTGTTTAAGGTTCCTCTGTGTCTTTTCATGGGTTCATACTTTATTTCTCGTGTGTGTGTATGTGTGTGTGTAACTCTGAGAGTTTAACCCAGAGCCTTTGTACTGAGCTACATCTCCAGCCTCTTTTAAAATTTTTTATTTTGAGATGATCTCCCTAACTTGCCCGGGCTGGGCTCAAATTTGCAATTCTCCTGCTTCAGCCTCCCAGAGTACTGGGATCACGGGGGGTGTGTCCCCACACCTACCTACAACAGAAATTTATTATCCCACAGTTCTGGAGGCCAGAAATCTGAAATCAGTGGCACTGGCTTGAAATGAAGGTGTAGGGCCTCCCCACCTGCACTTTTCCTCAGTCCTGACCTTGCATCCAGAGCACGTTGACCACTCTGCGACCTATCCGGTTGCGTATTTTCCCTGCAGGGACCAAAGCCTGTGCCTTGAACATTCCTAGGTACTGATAAAGGTCTACAAGTTGTGGCTCAAAATGCTGAAAGAAAATGGCCTCGTTGCTAAGCCAAATTCCTCCAACTTTCATCTAAACCCAGTCCTCCACCATCTCATGGCGGACACACCTACGTAGAACATTGCTTTCTCCCACTGACCTTCGCAAGGGCAACACAGCCTGCTCTGGAAGTAGTTTCCCAGATAAATGCTAAGGACTGACCGCCTGAGGGTTCGTCCTTCTCTCTTTGAAATCTCATCTGCCTGTGTCAGGACAGTTGAGAATCTGCCTGTGGGAACTCCCTTGTTGTCACTTTGGGGGTGACTCAAGGCAAGGGATTGGCTGGGATGGAGCATGAGGTGTTGGCAGGACAATCCCTTCTTCTGGAGGCTTCATTCCTTGACTGGTCCAGCTTCTGGTGGCTGCTGCCATCCCTTGGCTTGCAGCCACATCACTCCATCTCTGCCTCCACGATCTCATCGCCTTCTCTTCTGTCTGTCTGAAGTCTCCCTCTGCTTCCTTATTATAAGAACATTTATGACTCCATATGGAGCCAGCTCAGATAACCCAGCATCTTCTCCCCATCTCAAGTCCATAATCACATCTATAAAGTCTTTTTGGCCATGTGAAGTAACCTTCCCAGATTCTAGGGATTAGGGTGTGAATAGCTGTTGAGGGCATCATTCGGTAGCCATTGGCCGGGAGTGGTATCATTCACAGGCAGCAGGTAGACCGAAAGTGAAGGAGGTTGGTCAGGTGACCAGCACTGGGCGGCAACCACTTCTGGATGCCCACTCCACCGGCAGAGTCCAAAGCACGCTTCCGAGATGCCACCCTGAGATGCCTCTGTTTATTCCGCAGCACTGGAGGTGGGCTGTGCGAAGGTTGCTGAGTTGGAGGAGACCACTATTCAAATGCCAGAGGAAGGGCTTTTCCAGCGGAAAGTACAGAGGACGTGCAAATCCCAGAGGGTGTAAACTGTCACCTCCACGTGGAGTGACCTGCCCTGTGAAGCCTCTGCAGGGGCTCAAAGAGAGCAAGACACAGAGTGAACTGTATGGCATAGGAGAGCAACAAAACCCTCAGAACCCACTTGAACATTTGGCCTAGAATCATCTTGCTGCTTCTTTCCTAGGAGAGTTCCGCTTCTCCGTCCTTCATTTATTGTTATTTATTTCAAGTTAGGTATCCCCAATCTCACCTGGTCCTCTCTGCATCCAGGGCCACCTTCTCCCTCATCCACACCATCGTCCACTCCCTATCCCCACTCAAGTCTCAAGAACTTCCCTAGTTGATTTTTCTGCTTCCAGTTCTTCCCTCTGGAAACCATTCTGGAAACTTAGCGGGATCCTCTAAAAGCATAAGTCACATCATGCAATTCTCTTATGGCCCCAAAGTGGCTTCCCGCTGCTTAGAAATGGAACCCTAACACTTCCAGTGGTTTAAAAGTTCCACTAAAACTTTGTCTCCTACTGGAGTCACCCTGCTCACCACACTCCCACTGCACCAGCCTTCTGGTCCTGCCACATAGAGATGCCTCGCACTCAGTTCCTTGGCCTTGACCATGGTTTCACAACCGCTTCTCAGAGTCCAGCGCTACAGTGAGCTCCCAGATGGCCTTGTGAGCCCCTGACTCTAGAAGCCTTGCCGGTTGCTGACCGCCTTCCCTTTCCCATCCCGCTGCTTCTTTCCTCCATAATGTGCATTCCTGTGCGAATGCTCCTGCGTTCATATTAACTTGTTTATTGTCCGTCTCCCTCTGCTAGAATGTCACTTCTAAGAGTGAAAACACAACTCTGCGTTTTGACCCTGGTATCTCCCACGCTTGGCACAGATCCTGGCACATCCGAGGGCAGTGTTGGGGAAACTTTCGGAGCTTTAGGTGATACAAACAGCCTGCAGTGGCTCGCGTGCCACAGGTTCACCACCACTGTCCTGGGGGGGGCAGATTCATTGAAAGAGTGATGAATGAATAGCTCTTTGTTTATTGTTAATATCACAACTGGTGCAATCCATCATTCTTTCACTGTGTAATGTCTTCTATTTTTACCTTCCCATCATTAATTTTTTCTAATTAATTAAGTTCATTGGTACATTTTAGGTATACATAATGATCAAATTCAGCATAAGGAATTTGTACTTGTACATGATATATCTCGATTCTTACGTGTTTTTTTCCCACTCCCCTGCCCTCCTTTCAACCCCTCTTCCCCTCCTTATTTACAAAAGCTTTGTTTCCATTTTTTCCTTCTTTTCTCATTTTGTTTTCCTTTCCCTTCCTTTCTTTCACAATAACTATTGTACATTTTGGTAGCCAGTTACACCTTCATTTCCTCACACCAGAGAGACAATGCAGTATTTATACCTGTGTGTCCAATTTGTTTCACTTAAGATTAAGGTCTCAAGGTGCATCCCTTTAGCCGTAAAAGTCTCAAGGGTTTTTTTGTTTGTTAAGGTGGTTGGTTAGGGTTTTTTTGTTTGTTTGTTTTTGAGACAGGGTCTCACTATGTAGTTCAGGGTGGCTTTGATCTCACTATGGAGCACTGGTTGGCCTTGAACCCATGGCACTCTTCCTGCTGCAGCCACCCAAATACTGGGATTATAGGCATGCACCACCACTCTTGGAGTTCAACTTCCTTTATGGCTGAGTAGTACTTGATTCTGTATTTTTAAAAAACCACAACTTCTTTATCCATTTATCGGTTGATGGGCATTTGGGCTGTTTCCAACATTAAGCTGCTACAAACTGTGCCACTGTAAACATGGGTGTGCATATATTGCTGTGGTGTGATGCTTTGAATTCTTTTGGGAAGAAGGGTAATAGCTGGGTCAAATGGAACCTCTAGTTTGAGTTTTTTTGAGGAATCTCCCCCACTGATTTCCACAGTGGTTGCACCAGTCCATACTCCCACCAACAGGGAGAAGGATTTCTTTTTCCCCACAGCTGCTGCACCAGCATTTGTTGTTGGTTGAATTTTTTTTTTTTTTTTTTTTTTTTTGT